GTTGAATAGTGATCAAATAGCATAGAAAGATAGAGCGAAAGACGCTCTATCTATTCGTAAAAAAAGAAATTTCTTTTTAGCTATTTATAAGAAAAAAAAGAACCTGGCCCACTACTTTTGGATAACCCTAAGTATATCATATTGATGATCTAAATCATTTATTTGTTATATTTAAACAATAATAAATTGAATATTGATTTAATTGAAATAAATTTTTATTTAATTATGTTTGGATTTTATATGATTGATTTACTGTAATACAAATTCTCAATAACCATAAACGACGATTATCAATTGAATATGGTTAACAGATCATTATTTAACATTATTTATTATTGTGTGATATGATGATGATTGAGTTAAAACTATTAAAAAAATCGTTCTCTTTGAAGATATAATATCTATTGTTCACATGTTTTATTATTTTGAAATTCCTAAAAAATTTCTTGTGTATTATTATTATTAGATTTTTTTTTTGATTTTTTGAAATGGTGGAAAATGTTTCTTTTTTTTATGTTCATCATTAAATTGTTTATCATAATTATTTATATAAATTTCATTTGGTAAATAAATATTATTGTAAATAAAATCAATTAAAAAATAATTAAATCGATATATTAACCAAATTTGTTCTGTATTTAAAATTAATTTAATTAAATTATCTTTATTGATATATTCATTTAATAATAAAAATTTTTTACATGAATGACTTATATAAGATAAAGATTTCGATATAAATATAAATAACTGATTTGATAAATATTTATTTTCAATAAATATATTAATAAACTAATCAATAAGAACAATAATAATAAATTGAATTTGTTGGTTAGAGAATTATTGTTGATGTTTGGATTTGTGTTTGTCTTGTTGATGATGATGATTATTTTGATTTTTTAATAAATGTTTCGTTTATGTAATTTTCTAGAATAATTATTTGCTGAATTCGTTACGTAGGATATTTCCGGCCTGGATTCGAGTATATCGCAACTGGATTCGCCCACAGTTGGGACCAAAACCCAAACCCTACCGACCAAGGAAGAACTGCTCGAGC